AAAATTTGTAAAATGCAGAACCAACCCAGTCTTTCAAGTTTTGCTCATCACTCCTGAATGTTCATGTTCAGGTTTTCGTCATTGACAGACGATCTAAAGACGGAAAACCTCATCTGCATCTTAAAGTCAACTTTAGTCCGGAAAGCATTGTGTTACACAAGGAGGTATCCCCTAGTTTCTCTTTTTTGTGTGTTCCATCATGTTTTTTATTTATCAGTGTGCGTCTTTCTACATCCGTTGTCATAATCATCATGGTCCTTTTCAGGTTCGAAATCTGAAAAACATGGGTTTCCGTATCCCATTGAAGGTGGTGAACGCTGCTCATCAGGCCAATCAGATCTATCCGTTTGCTATCAGCTTGCTTGAGTCCACGCGGGTATGTGTGATTCTGGAGTGATTCTGAAAGTACAGGAATGAAAAAAAACCAAAATGTGGTTTTTGAAAGAGTTTCCGCGTGAATTTTTTCTTCTAATTTAGACCTACGAGTCAATTAACGAGCGGCTTGCGCAAAAGACTGGAATAGACACGTTGATTGCAAGCTACAAGAAGGACATACAGTCGCAAATTGCTGATGGCTATCAGTTGAATTGGGAGTCCTACAAGATTGATCCGTACGTCACTAAACTTGCTGACACGGTCAACAACTATCAGGTAGTTCTCGTCCTCCTTAATCAAGACTTCTGAAAGTCTTGGTAGGTTTAAAAGTTCTAAAGGCATTCAATTTCAGGAGCGGGTTGAAGACCTGATTCTCATTGCTGACAATATCGAAGTTGATTTGGCGGCATTGGATACATGTCAATATAACGCTGTCACCATTGGTGCGCAATTGGCTTCTATTCAGAAGTCAGTTGATCAGCTGGCACTTGGCAACTATTCGAATTTGACACAGTGGGTGGATAAGTTGGACAAGAAGGTTGGTTCTATTGGTTGTTGTTCGTAATATCCAAAATAATTTCAAACCATTGACGACCGCGTGACCCGACGTCAGGCCACACTTTCACATGGAAGA